GTGATGTAGTCCCTGCTTATTGTGCTGCCTGATATTGAGAACAGACCTCTGATGCTACATCTTTCACTGTCTGCAGAATAAATCACTTTACAAGCTTAAAGAAAAGACATAGACCTAGTAACTGTTTAAGATGTTTGCACAAATCATAAATATACATTGGAAGAACTCTTTAATATTAAGAATAAAAGAAAATCTGGATTACAATTACATATATTCATTTTATATATTCATATATTCATTTCTAAAGTAATATCTCTAACATATGTGTATGAGTTCTGCATACATATTTGAAGAATTCATGCACATAACTATTCCATTTTATATTCAGCAATCAAGAACTGTTGCAAAGTAACAATCTTGCAGCTGGGAACATTTAATATTTTTACTTCCATCCTCCAAAAAAATCTTCTCCCATCAGTCAGACCTGGTAATGAAAAATCCAGATTCTGCCACCCAGGCATAAACTTTCTGCTCCCGCTAAACTCCAAGTTATTTCCTAATTTTGAATACGAAACATATACTGAGCCTAGAGTTACATTCAGGCAAAAAAGAAAGAAACATTTTTTAATTAAATGTATGGATTTGAGTGAAAATTCTGGATACACTTGGAACATTGAAGAAATACAAGTCTGTATTTGGATATTTGCATTTGCTATCTGTATTTTATTTTATTTTAAGGATCATTTTATGAATTTAACTACAATCCAATGCACAGAAATAAACTGCAGTCTTTCTCTTCCATTAACTTTTCTTTGTATCTCTCAGCCAGCTACTTTTTCTCCTTTTTGTATAATCATAACAAGATGGTACAAGTATAAGAAATAATGATCTGAAAATGCAGGAAATTGAGGGCAATTTTGTGAAAAGCAGCTAGAATTCTGGAACTGTAAGGCTGGCACTAATTTGCTTAGTTTTACGTTTAACCTGTCATTCTTCAGAAGCATTTGCTTTTCTTCAGAGAAAAATAAAATAGCTCATGAAGTTATTACTAAGCTGACAGCAGGAGAGAATGTTGAGAAAGTTTGCTCATTAAAATGCATCTGAAGAAATTATTCACTAAACCAGTTAACAGAGATGCTGCTACTGTGAATGGAAGTTGCTGAAGCTGGCTAGTCCTGATGAAGTGCAGAACTCCGCGAGACAACAAGTAGAATAAAAAGAATAGATCATCCCACATTACACCTTAATCACAGACTTTACTATACCTTATGACAAGATAACTCTGAAAACAGAGAGAAAAGCAATATGAAGTGTTAAGCCTAGAGGGCTGGGTGACATTTAAGAGGTCTTAATGTGAGTCCATGGTTTTAAAAATTGATGTGGATTTTGGCCCAGCAGTCTTTAAAGGTTTTCAGCCTGGTTAATCTGGATCAGATTCTGACTTTTTAATCGCATAAGACAAGGATAATTATTCCAGCCAAATTACACCACAGTTTTGTGGTGTGCCTACATATAATTCCTCAATTATATTCTACAAGTTAGAAAGATTTTAGAGGCCTTACCCAACATTTTTAGGGCGGAAAATGACCATTTATTAGTGGTGTTGGTGAAGACATCTCCACTCTGCTTAAGTTAACTTTGGAGATTTTCTGGTACTCTCATAAATTGCAGAATAAAGTGGCAGCTAGTAAAAAAGCCTTGACCTGGCCAAAATATTAGTTGGAATTGGGGTGGCTGTTCCTTTATTGCTTATTTACATGGAAATTTCACATTTAAGATCCAACTCAGAAAGATATGTTCTTGCACTGTCTGTTATCCTAGCAATATTTTAACTCTATTTATTTTACTGAAGTTTTACATTTACATTATCTTGCAGTTCACAGAACACTATATATATAAAGACAACATTCATCAGATGAAAATACCACCTTCTTTGGATTTACACAAACAAGGATTGTGTTTCAACAGTGGCACAACCACTCAGCTCTGAAATACAGAACCACAGAACAATCCAGGTAGGAAAGAAACTCAAGAGAACATTTATTTCCACCACTGCTCAGATCAACCAACGTCCTTTCTTACACTGGTTTTCTCATGGTCCTTGGACACTCTAGTCGTGAATCATTTTGAGGATGGAGAAGTCACAGCATCTCAGGCAAACCTATTCCTATGTTTGACCACTTCAAAAGGTCAAAATTTGAAACGGTAAAAAAGTTTTCTTAATATTTACTGTAATCTCCCTCATCACAGCTTGTGTTTGCTGCCACACCTCCTGTTGCTGTGTGCCTATTAACAAGAGTTTGGATCCACCTTCTCTGCAAGCACCCACAAAGTAGTTGCAGGCAGCATTGCTGTCTCTTCTTGACCTTCAGGCTGAACAGACTCAGCTCTCCCAGCTTCTCTTTGTGCATCATGTGCTCCAGCCCTGGCCAGTTTGGTCATCCTTTGGTGGACTTATCCCAGTTTGCCGATACCTCCCTTGTACCAGGGGATCCAAAACTGGACACAGTACTCCACATGTAGCCTCAGAAGTGCTCCACAGAGGGAATAATAACTTTCTTTAGCCTGCTGGCTATGCTCTTTCCTGTGCAGCCCAGTATGTGTTTCATCACTGCAAGGGTGCACTTCTAACTTATATTCATATCTGAGTAAAGACCGTGGGTCAGTCTCCTTAGGTCAGGGAGAGGTAATGCTGAGGTTGGCACTGGTTGATTGTGGATTTACTTCCTTCTGGGAGAAGAGAGATACTTGCAGAGTTGTCATAGTGGGCTGGCTGGCTGGAGGGATAGAAAAAAAGAAGTTGTGTGTGCTCCTGCCCACCAGATTTATGCTGTATCTGGGGTTAGCTGGCCCTTGGCTGTCATGAGGACATGGGCAAATGAGACATGTTGTGTTATCAGGGTCTCTGCAAGCTCTATGTGCAGCTTGGGGACCTCGAGGCCTCCATCCCATAGTGGCCAAGATTGGCTTCCCTCTGGCATTTCCATGAACCCAAGGTTTCCAGTCAGTTCCTTCAAATGCAAACTGCGTTGCCTCTTACCTCAGGATTACACCACTCACTGGGTTGGACCCACGAGGGAGCTGGAACATTCTGTGTTGTAATGCTAATAAAGGAGAAAATTAAAGTTGGGTGGAGGATTTGGCATGGAAATCTTTAAACCTGTGCTCTTTTTGTATAATGTAGCTATAATAATGTACTTTTTATGCTAATGTTAGTGTAGTTTTATAATGACTTTTTCCTGCAAGTTGATGAATACCCTTCTTTTCCTTAAGTCACAGCAATTTAGGATACCATATACTTGCAGGGATGCACCCTACTTTCAAGCAGCATTTCAGGAAGACCAATTTCAGTTTGATTCCCCTGGATTAACATGCATGCTGAAAAGATAAGATAGTATAAAAACAATTGAGATGAGTTAAGAGAATGGGAATTTTCCTTGCTACTGTATTGCTTCTGTTTTACACATTAGCCATTTCATTTGTGAATGATTAATTAAGGTCCAAGTGATTAGATTAGGCAAATGTGCTGAGTCAAAAATAATAAGAATGCAGGAGGAAATGAATGAGAAAAGGCAAAGTAATGGAAAAAAACAAAGTAAATATGCAACACGTTTTGCAATAAGATTATTTTTGCTATGTCACGGTAATACAGGTTCATTAGCTTACATTAAATGCATATGGCTGGACTGATGACTACAAAATTAACCTTAGAAATCCCTGTATTCAGACTAATACAGATGTTCAGAATAACACAAGATACAGGTGTCTCTCTCCAAGCATACTTTGTAGACCTGTAGTAACCAAAGTGGTATCTCTTCAAAGAGCACAACTTTTTAAGGATTTACACCTTAAGACAGAAAGTGATGGCTTAGGTCTTCAGACTATGAGCAAGGGAAAAACATTGAGCTCCTCACCACTGAGAGATTGCCTAACTCCTACCTGAGCATCAATACCCATTGTATTTTTTGTACCTTCACTGACTCACTTGATCACCTCCTGGAAAGAATCCCCAGTCTCTTCTCATCTCTAATGATAAGGAACATATCATATTTTCTATGATTTTCATCCCCACTTGGACCTGTGTAGCTGGAGCTCATAGTTTACTGATGGCACAGGGCATATTTTGCAGGTAATGACTGCTTCAGAGCAACTTTATAAGCAACAAATGCAGAGATCTGGTTTTGCTGAATTCACTTATTTTTGACTAGTAGGCTGGCAATACAGCAAATAAAAGAAAGGGGAGGGAGAAACAATACTATATTGCTTTTGTTTATGGAGCTTGAATTAGAAAAAGACAAGTACAGAAGCTGGTACCTGTTCTTACTCCTTGTAATTTTGACTGCTCAGGTGTTCCTTGGAAGGGCTTCTCTAATCATTAACTTCTTACCAGGGATCGTAAGAGGTACCTTTGGTAATGGGAGGTACTTAGATAAACCTAAGTTATTATTTATGATAAAAAAAAAGGTCTTGGACCTTGGTGAACTTGGGAAATTCTTGAAGGCAATTTGATCTATTTCAAACCAAGATTTGCACTGATGATATTGAAAGGCTCCAGCTGAAAATATTGTAGGAGGTTTTCAATACAAACAGCTAAGACAGTGGATGTTTGAGGAAAACTATGTAAAAATTAGTAAATCAATTTGTGGCCATTGAAAGGAAAACTGAAAATGTTAAGGATTAAAAAAAAAAAAAAAAAAGGTTTGGTTGAAAACTGAGTTATTTATTTCCCTGTGGTGCATTAAAATCACTTTAGACAGAAGTGGAGCTTTCAAAAACCAACAATGATATGTTTCCACAGATTCAAATATTATCTTTCTTTTCAAAATACATTTCAAAACACATAATTAATTGAGAAGTGCCTCTTTCCTGCAAGCAATTCTTATTTTGATGAATATTTTGGATATCTGATGATATTCCGTTGAAAGATTAAAAAATCTTCAGCCACTTCTAGTCATGAAACATGCAGAACTCGAGACAATGTTAAATATCTATTTTAAATTGGGGATTTTTGTTGTCTATACTACTGTTATGGGCACACATGACAACTTAAAAAATGATTGTGCCTCTAAGTGCCTCTGTTTTTAAGATGCCTCAGGCTGAAATTCTAAAATGTTAAAAAATCTGGTACCTTAACATCACAGAATTCAGGCATTTGGAATTGATTTTTACTTTTGATAATTCAATCTGTGGCGTATTTGGTAAAATGAAGCAAAAAAAAATTCATTCACATAAAATAAGACATTGGTTTTGTACTCATAAAAAGTATTTTAAGATGCAGCTTTTTCCTCAGAAGCTAAAACAGCTTCCAGCAAGATATAACTTATAGAATAATCATATTAAACATATTTTAAGGCAACATATAATGTTCATTCTAGTAATTTACTATAATTAATACATTTTAACTATCACCTCATTACTTTATCTGGAGATGTAACAAATGACGTACTTTTCCATGACAACATTTCAGTTATTTATCAAATTAACTTGAATACTTCAGTTGCCTTTAACAACTACCTGGAAAAAATCAATACCTGATATGACTTCATGGCACATAGCAAAGTATATAAGCATGAAGTTTCTATTGCTTGGTCTCAATTTGTCACTTCAGACCATCTGACTGAGAAGTGACTCTTAAATCCTCTTCATTTCACTGTTATCCGATTTGCAGGAATCCAAGACTTAAGCAAACATGTCCAACCCTAGTGAGGCAGAACTCATTCACATGTTTAAGGGGATTCCCTTTACCACCATGTCTTCTCCTGAACTTTTAAAATCCTTGGATACTTTTGACGCCAGAGAAGATGATGTCCTCTTGGTTTCCTATCCCAAGTCTGGTAAGTTCTATTTTTAGATGTTAATTGCAAAAAGTCTCAATTATTTGTTCTCTGCTTAAACTAGTTGGAAAATGTCTGTGTTCATGAAACAGGAAAGGCTGTTTGAGCATATGAATATATTTTTCTGTTTGTAAGTGTTCAAGTACAAAAAAAAGTGATATTTATCTAAATTTGATTCTTTAATTGAAAATAATCTCAGGTGTTTTCATGTTGGAAAGCAAATAAATATTTCTTTCTTGCAAGCAAAATCTGTACTTGAAGGATTTTCTGAAGGACTTTCTACATACAATTATGAGCAAGTCAGGAGTCATATTAAGGTATTTGTATGGATCTTGGCTATAGATGTATTCATTTCTTATTCCCTCTCTCTCCATCTCATTGCACACAGAAGCACATACCAAAGAGGAAGCTCAAGTGGTACTTTCCAACCGTGATAAGGAAATAAAACCCAGATAATTGTAAAATAAATAACAAAAATAACCACATCCCAGTTGACAAGCATTTCTCTAATGAGACTGGTTTGGTACCAGCATGAACACTTCTCATACAGTTACTCTGTACTTCAGCTACAGCCCTAATTTTTCCAGTATTTCTACATTTGGAGTCAATGGGATGATTCAGCTATGTAAATTTTCTTGAAGCTAGGGGATTAGAAGTATTACTTGTGCACTAGGAAGCTCTTTCACAATGCGTGTTCCACATTTTTTCTCAGTAACAAATATTCTTTCCTTTGTTTTTTCCTTAAAATTACTTTTCTGTAGGCACTCACTGGCTTGCAGGAGTTATAACAAAGCTTTACAATACTCAAGTTACACTAACATCTCCCATTGAATTTGGAGACATTTCCAAACTAGAAGAGCTGAATAAACTCTCATCAAAGAGAATCATTCCAACTCACTTAGACTACAACATGTTACCTGCAAATTTTAAGAAAAAAAAATGCAAGGTAAGGCAAAAAGACATAAAAGCAGTAAGATATGTTAAGTGGCTATTAGGAATCTATTTTGGAAGAAAATTAAGTCTATCTCAGCTGAAACAAGGACAATCCTTATAAATTTTTGAATTATTTACAGTTTCCTGAAGTCGTTTGCTGTGAATTTTGGAGACACGGCTGATCAACTGCCAAAGGCACCATGAGCAGAGATCTGGGCTAGGGACTGTGTTCTGGGCTCCTGCCTCACTGCTCCCATGGGGTGATTTGTATACCAGGCACCATGAAAATAACAGAACATCAACCTCTTTCAATCAGAAATATATTATTAAGGGTAGGGGGGAGGTGATAGGGGTGCTCTCATGGCCCTGTTTCACTGGAGGACTGGCTTAGAAAATAGTTATCTTGGGTAATTATGGGCCATTCTGTGGGTGAAGGTACTCTGCCCCTCCTCTTGAAGCTTTGTGAAGACTTTTTTGTAAAGATCTATGGGGCAAACAGAGAACTGAAATGTGGGAAGCAGATTCAGATCACAGTTCTGAGCTTCTCCCATGCTAATGTGGGAAATCTTTAAAAAATAAGCTCTGGGTCTCAGATTTTATATTAGAAGTTCATAATTTCAGGATTACTCAGATCCATACTTTTGGGACACTGCTAGTTTGAATGAAAGGTCAAAATTTATGTTTTGCATCAGTCCTGTGAATGTTAATTAGATATTGGTTTCATGTGTTAGCTACCATACTGACTCATGAGGTAAAATGAACACAGGTATTATCATTAATACCTATATCATCTTCATTTACAGATGATCTACATCAGCAGAAATCCAAAAGATACTGCAGTTTCCATGTACCATTACTACAGAGATAACCCAAACCTTCCCACTATAGACACTTGGGCTGCTTTCCTTGATTTGTTCTTAAAAGGAGATGGTAAGGGTAAAAGTTACATTTTCTCCTTGAAGTTTACATTAGCATATTATGCACAGGAAGAATCAAGAAATGTGTACTATGTGAAAACTCCTTATTGAACTCTTTCTTCATACATCTTTAGCTGTTGGGTCTTTTTCAGGATGAATTCTAATGCCAAAATAAACAAGAACAAATAGTAGGTATTATCCTCAGCCCTGCAAGGAGACATTTTGATAAGTGGCTGCATTATTTCAGCACAACTGCCCTTTGCAGGGTTTTGCTGTCCTCTGACATACCTGCTTAAAAACGGAGACAAGATACTGGTTTTATTTCTTCCCACAGACACTCTGAAATCCCTGACAATTTGCTGATTCTAATGTCGATTCGCCTGTGGTAAAACATTTTCAACCTTGTCTTGTGAACCACACTAACAGGCTGCTTCCCATCCAGAGTTCATGTTTAAACTGTGAAAGAGGAGGTGTGTGTATACAGCTCCTCTGCCATGCCAGAGTGTGGGCAATGGGGCACATGGGGAGACCGTCCCCAGGCTGCACTCAGAGCTATGCTTGCAGGTCTAGTGCCTTCTCCAGTCTCGAAGACAGCCTTTATTGCACCTTCAAAGGGAGTCTAGATGCTTTCATAAAGCCCAGCTGAACATGCTCTGCTTGATGTGGTGTCTTAGTAGCAGGGTCCAAAGACCAAGGACTAGAGTAAGATTTTTATGAGTGGCCATTCTGGCATGGAAACTGACAACAGGACCATATTGCACTTATCCACTCCCATTTTTAGTGCTTTATGACTTCTTTGAGGACATGTTCCTCCTATACAACCATAGTGAAGATAACAGCAACAATGATAGATTGGCTTGAAAACTTTGAAACAAAAGTGCCATTGCAGTCACCAACATTAGAGCTCCAGAGGTCAATCTGCCTACTGCCCTGTATACACCTTGGCTCACATACTTGTGTTCCTCATTCAGGGCAGCCCTAATGCACATCCTTCAGTGATGTGCAGTATCTTGGCTTGTTTAGTATCAACTCTCAACATATGATAGTGAAAAACATAAAAGAGGATTATATTAATCTGTAATTTATCTGTAAATTAGTAGCCACCTTCTATTTTCTGTGTCCTTACATATGGCATAAAAAGATAACTATGCTGGTTACAACAGAAATTTACGTAAGAGGTGATACAGAGATGTTGGTTTTGCTCCTAATAGAAACATATTAAGGTCATTCAGATCCTGTAGTACTCTTGCAATGTTAATCTCAGTTCAGAACAAGGGTGAGGACAAACAGTGACAACTGTGATGCTGTCCCTGGAGTCTCCGAGGCTGTGTGCTGTACTCCTGAAGCCAAGAGCACTATTCTACACTATTGTTGACCACAGTGTGGTTGACCAGGAGAGCAGGGTTTAATTGCATACTGTGGAGCACATGTGATTTGCAATTAAACAGTACTTTATGTGCAGGAGAGGTCTACGCACTGGAGTATTCAGCAAAATACTTAATTGTAACTCACAGTCTGCAAACAAACCAATGTCCCTTACAGTTTTATGTTTTTCTAGTGGTAGTTATAAAGCAGAATCACAGTTCTCGAGAAGGCTAGCTGTGATTGCTCTGTCCAGGCCTCTTCTCATCACCCTACAAGAGGCTTTCAAATTAGCTTTCAATGCAGTCCATCTTCTCTTTCAAGTAGAAGGGTCAGAACTTTGTTTTTTAAAAGAAAGCTGAAATTTAGCTGTCCTCCTATGGCTTAGCAAAAGGAATATTCAGACAAAACAAGTACCATGAGTCAGCTGTAAAACTGTAAGGTATCTATGACATTAGCTGAATGATGTATTCGCATAACTTCTTTATGCAATTCTTTCATGTTTAAAAATAATGCAGATTCTCCCCTTCTGACACAAAACAGCTAACGAAAGCGTGCTCCATTTTACAGACTCTTTATTTCATTGCCTAGTGAAGGGATCATATTTCTAGCTGTGGCCACAGTCATACAGACATTTGCTGAGGTGCTCAGATCTGATTAGGCTAATACGTTTCCCCTCATTGCTAGGCTTTTCTCAGATTTGGAGCCTGTTCCCACTACAGAATCATATCTTGAAATAGTATCTGCATCTTTAATATGAAAAAGTATTCAAACAAGAATGGTAAGCTTGAGTCACTTCACAAAAAGAATGCAATCTGTTTTAAAGGAATACAGGGTATATATTATGAAGGGGTCATTCCCCTAAATCTGTGAGATACTATCAGAGTTATTTATGAATAAAATTTGTATGAAACTCTTCTACATGGGTTTTCTTTTCAGTTGTCTGTGGATCCTGGTTTGATCATTTCCTAAGTTGGGAAGAACATGAAAATGACAAAAACATCCTGTTTTTATTCTATGAAGACATGAAGAAGGTAAATATGCTCTCTGCTCTTATTTCAAGATGCATTACTTGTAAATTAACATCATTAAAATATCAAAGAGCATATTATAATGAAGAAAGAGAAAGAAGGAAAATGTGAATGTATGTCTTTGGGCATATCTCCTGTTTGCACAGAACTTTATATTAGTGAACTAATTCTGACTGCAGAAGTTATATAAATATCAAACCTTATGAGAGCTGCATTTCATAGATGTAGGAGTGGGACATATATTGCAGTGTTTTCCCCAAGCTACAGAAAACATTTCGAATTCCTTGTTCTTGCTCCTATGGAAAGATCAACCAAGGACATCTGTTTAGGGCCACACATTAACCTGCTATACCTGACAGTTTGGGTGAAATTTTCATAAAGTAATGTAAGACAACAGAACTACTCATGGTCAGTGGGACTTGTGCTCCCTACATACAAGAAAAGTAGAGGCTTAAGAGGTAGGAAGATTTTGATGAAAGGAGATTATTATGCAGAAACTGCTTTGTTATTCTTTAAAAAAGACAAATACCAGCAAACTTTAGCTTTCATAAAATCAATTTTTGGGTGTATAGAAAACACTTTCTGGCGTTTCCATTGAAATAGTTTTGTTCCTTTTTTGGGAAGGCGGGGGGGAGAAGGAGGGAATCCACTAAGGTATATGAATAAACCAGTTGGATCTGTAGATATAGCACCTCCAATTAAACAAGCAATTTACACAGAAGCTGAGCTTAAACGATTTCTCTACTCACAATGAAATAATTCTGAGAGACAGAAGGACACTTTACCTGCACTGGGAGTAAAATTGACAATGTAACTAACTGTGTTTGATATCACATACTTAGCATTTACTCATTTCTGTGAGTATGGGTAAGAGGGGAATCAAGTTTACTGCACTCATCATCTACACAGTCCAATAACATCTTTAACTTTGCTTGAAAGCAAATAAATGTGTGATAAACTTGGTAGGTAATAAAAAGAATCACTTTTGTATCAACCAGAAGCCTGACAATCAGCTCAGAAATATAAAAGCTTCATCTTTCTTGTGTCTTAGGATCTTCCTAAGGTTGTAAAGGACATGATTTTGTTCTTGGGTTTAGACATCAGTGATGATGATATCCAAGACATCTGCAAGAAGTCCTCCTTCTCAGAGATGAAAAGAGACACAGAAAAGGAGAACAGCAATCCCAATCACACTGTTTGCACACTGACATCCAACAGGAAGCTAATTTTCAGAAAAGGTGAGTTCCTTTGGATGGGCTTAACACAGAAGAAGGAGTGGGAATCCAGGCACAGGCCGCAGTCCAGATCTTTCCTGAATGGTAGTGATGTTTTGAATCAGCCCCAGGAAGCAGTGACAGAATCCTGCAATTGGAAGCCATCTTAAAAACCACTTTCTTTCTAAATTCTCTGGTTGCAAATGCAAACTTATGCTAAGGAAGCCTGGGGGAGTCTGAAAAACAGTCTAATAGTGCTTGGTTGGAGCTTTCATGCTAAAAGGAAAGCTTCACAAAACATTATTCTGGTTTGTTGGTTTTTTGGGTTTTTTTTTATCTAAAAGTTGACCACTTCAGTCTTTTACAACTTGTCTTGTCTGATATAACCTGCAAAGGTCACTTTGTTTTAGAAAGAGCTAGACACATTCCTTCCAAAGGAGACTGCTTGTAGCCTTTATCCTCCATACTATCTCTTATCTTATTGAAGTCTAGGAAAAAGCATATTGAAAAAGGAATACGCTGACAATGACAACAACAAAAGAAGGAATGACTCAATCACTTGATGGCCTCACAGGTAGCCTTCAGACCCTGGCCAAGCTGGAATCTGTGGTAAAATCTTGAACAGTGCTTAGCTCAGATGGGACTTTAAAATACCTGCAGGAGCTGTTTTCTTGCTCCTAACATTTCCTCAGATTTGAATAAGTAGATCAAACCATCATGTTTAGTTGGGTTTTGATTAATTTTACTTAGTTAATTTTTGAACAATAATTGATAGTTTAAAACCAAAAGTTGTTTCAATTAATAAATAGGGAAATGCTTTTTTACATTTCCCTAATTCAGACTGTTTTTAGCAACGAGCTAAAGGAAATGCCAAAATACAATCTCTCAGCAAAAAACAAACAAAATCTTCAGATACACTTTTCTAAGTCAGTGAACTTTAACAGAAGCATGTTGAAAATTTTGAAAAACACCAACAGTTTCACTTCCAAGTAGTTTCTATGTAAATCCCAGGGGTTTAGGTAGTTGCAGTTTACAGAAGACTTATACATATACATTATTCTTCAGACTCTCTTTTCTTGTCTCTGCTGTCCAGTATGCTATTTTAGTTAGCTGTTTTGGGATTGAATCATGGAGTCATAGAATCCCAGGTTGAAAGGGACCTCAGGGATCATCTGGTCCAACCTTTCTTGGCAAAGCATGACCTAGGCTAGGTGTCCCAGCACCCTGTTCAGCCGAGTCTTGAAAGTGTCCAACTTTGGAGAATCCACCTCTTCCCTGAGGAAATTATTCCTATAGCTGATTGTTCTCATGGTGAAAAAATCTCCTTTAGTGCCCAGTCAGAATCTCCCCAGGATGCAGGGTCTTTAGAGGATGCACTGTACACATTGTCTCATGCAAATATGTCAGTTTAATAAACAATTTCTTGTTTGCTGAAACTGGATAACAGTCGAAACACTTCACTGAACATGAGTGTGCATGGTCACCCAGAAGCACCTAACTGCCCTCTTACGTAGTGGGACACCTCTTCTGTAGAAAGCCTTAGGGGCTACAAGTGGGTGTGAGGGTGGGATTCATCTATCAAGTCATTCTGGGCTCCTTTTTTAGGAGTCTTCTTTAGCCAATGGAGACATATGGCTGCTACTGGGGCACCATTCATTTGATGAGTTTTAAACATTGAGTAGGATGAGATGGGCTTAGAAAGGAAGTAATCATTTCCTCTACTGCCTGTGAAAGAGCTAAAGCAGACCTTTAACTGTATACATCTCAGGTGCAGAAGATGCCTCTCTGCTGAGATGACCAAGAGCTCTAATCCATCTAGGAAACCTGCTGCTCTTCATGTACCACTCAGCTGTTGGCACTAGCCAAGTATGGGACTGAGAGTTAACAGCCTTTATGAATGACAAACCAGCTGCTTCCTTCAGAGTCCCACCAGGCCAATAAAACAATGACTTATGATCATGATCTACCACAGAGACCACGGTTAATAATATATTAACAATTTGTGCCAACAGCAACATTAACCAAACTGGGTTGCATTTAAATCATTTTCTGCACTATATATTGCTAACCTTACTGCTCTTTTTCTGCTCCTGCTCTCCTAGGCACTGTTGGTGATTGGAAGAACCATTTCACTCCAAAACAGAATCAAAGGTTTGAGGAGATATTTAATGAGAAAATGAAGCTCAGCAAAATGGCAAAAAGTCTCACCTATGAATTTTGACTGCATGTGAAGAACAATATCCAGTTATTGACAAACACAGATAGAGCAGTTGGTGGCAAATTCTGAATGGGGGCTCCCACTAAGTTTATAAGCCTCCCAACACACGGGATAGTAAACAAGAGATTTTTGGGGACAGGAAAATTCTGACACTATGCCAGAGTTGAACTCAGTTTTCAGTGGGCAGATGTATAAGATTTTACGAAGTCAGGAGCCAGATTTGTTTTTCTACAACCAAAACTACCTTATAATTTATTTATTTTTTCCTCTAGAGAGATATGAATGGATGTCTTAGATATAATTAAGGAATTTTATGTAAGATGTTAAGAAAAAAAACGTAAAACCAAACCTATAAGAATGTGAATATATGAAAAGTCTAAACCTACATCATAAGAAAATGACCAAAGATTTAACCCCAGCCCTGTTCCCTTCTTGATCTATCATGATTTGGAAAGTGTCTATTTTATCAGACTGTTATTGATACCGAAGTTGAAAATTGCAGCTTTACATTTGATAATCTGAAGTGAAGTTTGTTTATAAAATGTCTTTTAAATGTCTTATATATATATATATATATAGCATGAAGTTCTTTGATGTAACATTTCTGGGTTAAGTACTGTATAGTGTTTGTGTTTTAAATGCAACTAATATAACTCCATGTAAACTTCAGCACCATATGCTGAGGAACTACAAACGTGGTTTTTTTTTTCCATTTGACTTTCTTCCTGCAAAATGCTTGTTTCCAGTGTTTTGATGAGAAGCATTTTACTTCACAGTCCTTGTGCAACAGAAGTCAACAGTTCCACTGCGGTAAACAGACTGCACTCAGAGACAGTTTAATCAGAACAAGACTTATTTATTTATCCTGCTCTGATAAGACAGATTTTCCAAGAATCATCTCTCTGTGTTCATATTTGAGGGACTTCTATAGGAACCTGGAAAGGATTTTTCTTCTGGTTTATTCCATGATACATTTTCTGTCCTCACCTTCAATTCGCTTTGCTGGCTGGCTTTAAAGACTCTTCTCCCCAAACTAGATCTCCCCAACCATGCAATGCCAAGGCATCATTAGATAGAAAAAACATAGCAAATGCTATTTAAAAAGAAACTCATGCAGACATGCATGATTACTCTGACTCTTGTGTGCTCTGAAGGTATACATCAGTAAAGCAAGCTTTGTCCTCTGTTTCTGAGAAGCTAAGGTATGGCCTTATTTACAGCGAAACACTAAAGCCTTCTCTAGCCACACATTTCACACTTGCCACACAGCCCTCTTATTTCACACCTTGCTTGTGCAAGCTGACCTACTGATTTTGTGTCATCTGCACAAATCAGATAGAAGTTACATGCTGAAGAAATCAGTGAGAGAAAAGCCTGTTCAACTGCAGTCCCTTGACAATTACCAATTCAACACAATCCAAGCAAGATGCTGCCCTGAGCACTGTTTTATGCAAATGCCCATTTGGAAACTGGAAGTTTGTTTGTGTGCTATGCAATTCTGACACTAAAATCACATTTTCTCTCACTAAAATGCCATGGACCACCGTTACCTTCATTTCAGATGTCATTCTAACACTATTAGTAAGTGGCAAGAGATCAGCTAATGACCATGCTTGGGCTTTTTACTTAAAGACTTTATTCTAGCTCTTTCAGTATGGAAAAAAGCCCAAGGATCCTTGGGCAAACAAAGTTTGCAAGCAAGTTTATTAACTGCATTAAGAAAACCAGCAGCAGTGCATATATTCACCATATGAAACCGTGTGTGAAGGGACAGGGTGAGGACATTCCATGTGGATCAAGGGTTAAAGCATATAGTCCTGAGCTGGCTGAAGAGATAGCATTAGAATATAAAGTAGCAAGTGCTTTGCAGCTCTGGGACTTCTAGCACTGCACTGCAGAGTTAAATGTACTTTCAAAATAAAGTTCCTCTCAGTAATACTTCATACTCTTACAGTACTTTTAATCTCCAAATACAGCTTTCCTCCAGCTTTACACAATGCAGCCACACCTGAGGTAGAGCACAGCAACTGTTTGCAGTGCATAACAGAAAGAAAGCAGCTTCTGCTAGTACAACTACAGGGTCGCAGGTTCATGCTAGGCACTGGCACAGCCCAGTGCAGCTGAGGACAGCATACCAAAATGTGCCTATGTCAGAGGTCCAGAAAGCTAGGCTGGGTACTGTTACTGAAGGATGGAGGGATGTGGTGCTAGCTACTGGCAACCAGGGTCTCCCAGCAGTTGCCACGCTTACCATTTCTTTCATTCTCTTTTCTCTTGCTCTCCCCACCGCGCTGCTACTCCCCCTCCCCTTCCTATGACTGTAGTGGAGGGATTCAAACTGAACTTTGCAAAGAATTGTCAGTCCTGCTCCACAGGTCATTTTGACAGGTCACAGAGATGTGAAAAATTTCAAAACTTCCACAGTAAGATGTTGTAAAAATGACTTTTCCCCTCTCCATTTTTCTTTTTTCTATGGCAGTTAAAAGTTCTGGAGAGAGGGATATTTCAATCCTACAAAATATAAAAATATTGGTCCAAAATGTACCTAGACCACAGCAACAGTAGGTTTGGAATAAACAAAGCCCTATGCAATCTCTATTACATGTAAATGGTTACAATACTGCTTTACTATTTGGGTAATATATTCCTTTTTCCTGGTTAAGGGCTCTTCTAAAGACTGGTTTAATTAGAGAAGACAGCATTAAATATTTATGCCATCAGAGCTGAGATAAGAGGCTTCTGCCACCTCTTGTTGAAGTTAGCCTGCTTTGCTTGCTATCCGGGCTTACCTGGCCTTCAGGTCAGATCAAAAAGCAAGCAAGACTGTCTGGGGAGCCAGAACTCTTGTGAAAGGAACATGTGACTTTCAGGCCTTGCTTCAAGGGTCTTTTTCCTGAAAACAGCACACAACTAGCTTCTGAAGTGGCTCTCAAAGAAGAAAAGGTGCTCAGATAAACATCCTAGTGACCCGACTTAAAGTTACACCAGTTCTAATACAATAAGTTTGATACCTAAAGCAGTTCCTTGGAGGAAAACAATGACTGGTAAAGAAAAAAAAATATCCCTCTGAATACCTTCTTGCGCCTTGTAGAATATGCAAGTGAGTCTGGAGAAATGAGGGGGGGAAAGAAGGTGGGGGAAGGAATCTGAGTCAGATCTGGTGATCTTTGAAACCATAAGTCATAGGAAAATAGAGAAAACTCAGGGCAGATCAATTGGTGGGTTTCTACACTGGGTCTAAGTAAAACAGAGATGCTCAAGTGATCAAGGCAAGGGTTTACATGTAACCATCTGTCAGCTGGAAAAGTAAATGTGGAGGAACAGAAGGAATTTCCACGGGGATTGCTTCATGACCAGCTGATGAAAGACAGTCACAGATTACAGACAAAGAGCCAAGGATGCTCCTGCTGCAAAGACCAGTGGGGATGGGGCAGAAGGAATCAAGCCTGGCAGAAAGGGCTGAGCACGGTGACGAAGACAATCTGTGTTCAGAAAGGGGAAAAGAACTGAGTGGCTGTGTCACTCTTCTACCAGTTCCAGCTTCACAGGTGATGACAACCCACCATCTTTCAAGGGACCCGCAACCATAAGACACAATTCTGCAGCAACTTCTCTACTAACTTGGATAGGAGACAGTCCTCCCCTTTTCCTGAATCTGTTTGCCCGTCGTGCATACCACAGAGACTATATATACTAAAGGACGGGCAGAGATAGCATGTGTGTGGTGAGACATTGCCCTTCCTGAGCTCCCACAGAAGAGTCTTCTCCTTGGCCAAGCAGTGAGGAGCGGCGGCACCTCATGGCCCCAGCAGGGAACCAGCAGGTGCTCCCTACAGCTGCTCGAGTGGAAATCCCAGCAACATAAATACATGAAGTCAGAACTTGCATCGCTGTGCCTCCTTCTGTCCTTTTTCCAAACTGGTCTTTTGAGAGAAGAGAAGCAGCTGCCTTGGAAGCAGCTGCCTTGGAAACAGCCGCAATCCCAAGGCACCAGGGACATGTCCACTCCGGTGCGGGCTTCGCAGCCATTCAGGCTTTCTGCCAGTAGAAGGGTAGCAGAGTTGCCTCTGAAAGGAACCGAAATACTTGCTCTTCACTGACATCTGTTGACTGCATTGTTTTAACCACAAAGCTCTGCACAAGAATTAGGCATTCATTTTTGCAGGATGCTCAAAAACAGCACTCTAAAGGGAATCAGACACAGGTCTGGGGGGAGCAAGTCTGTGTCTGGGTACTTAGGGACAGGCCTGATGCACAGCCTGCTTATGAACTCTCATTTCTGACTGCCTGTGTCTGCAAGACTTTACCCAGGAATGACCAATCCGCACCACTGAGAATCTACCAGCAGCCACAGTAGAGACAGGACAATGGGGCAGATGATGGCACTCCCATATAAACAAATATAAATGCTGAGGAGAAATAAAATCAGATTTTCCTTTTCTGCCTGCAGGACCTTTCACTAAAACAAAGGATAAAAGTGGATTGTTGTACTCTGTCATTTGTGACCTTGGTAAACTACTTAGACCTAACCCAACAGTCAGACAGGTATCACTGTGCTGCAAAAACTGGTTAGTTGCCTAGCTACTTAAGAAGGAGTAGGAATTAATTAGTTTACAGCATTGCCTACTGGCTAAATTAAGGATTTACCTACATTATAATAATTAAAAAGAAAAGGTACAGCGCGACTCCATTAGCAGGTGAATGAAATGCAGCAGGTGCTAGTTCATGTATCTCTGTGCTAGCCAAACTCAGACACCAATGACAGTACCTTAACTGAAGCAGCCCAGATGTTAGTTCCCCTGCTTCTCAGCAGGGGCATCAGTACAGATGCACTGCAAAGCACAGATCCTGTTAGCTTGTTCTCGACATTGCCATGCACTGCCTGCAGCCTTATCCTGAAAACCCCTGAAATCTCTTGGTTTTCATTATAAATCGAATGTGTGCTTTCTCTAAACAAGTAAGAAACTTGAGGAGATTCACTCTTATGAGCTGCAAGGTGCTCAAAGTCGTTTAGTAAAAACCTAGCAGGGTATGAAGCATGGTGGGAGAACAAAACCAGCCACACTCTTAATGTGGACTGTACAGGTAATAAAACATTGTACAACTACAGCCTTAGGTAGAAGTTACACCCCTGAAGAGACTATATCCACATTTAAGACAAAAATGGCAGTGTTAGCTCAGATATACATCAATTTAGCCCAGAAACTTGTCTGCAAGAGTAGGTGAGCAAACAGGATAAACGTGATATTTTCCTGAATAATTCTCCCAACCTCCAATTACATTTTGTCCAAGAACTTCATGCGCAATTTACCATTAGTGTCTATGAACGACAGATATTGAGTCAGCTTATGTCATGCACTTCTACACAGTTGTGTGTAATTCTGCCTTATTTTCAATGAGCTTTGAGGATTAAAGGATTAATTCCTATCAGTAATAGCAATGCTATGTCCTGCTCTGTGCTGTGTCAGAGCTACACATTGACATTTTAGAATGAGCATTTTAGAATGTATATTCTGAAATAAGGCTAAAAATGCACTTGGGTATTTCCTGTACAAGGAAGAAACCAAGGCTCAGAACCAGAGGAATCCTATCAAGTGTCAGATTCATGGAACACATGGCCAAAGGCCATTTTAAGTATGCTTACAGACATTTATGAAATGTCTATAAGCCATGTCCAGCTATGGAAATTCCTGAGCTGCAAATGTTTTGAGGCCACAGGAAAACTGGAAAGCACTGCCTAATACAACACAATAAATTCATACTCAGGCGTATGCTTTTGGTCTCTGCTAGTTTGTTCAGCAGTCTTTCCCCGTTAGATATCTAACACAACTCCCTGCAGCCCTCCTTCTTCCAAACTGAAGAATTCTTACCTGGTTGTTGCTCACACTGAACCCAATTCCTTCGTCATCCACTTTATCCTCCCCCAAACCGTTCAAGTACTACAACCTCTTTAACGTGCAAGAAACAAAACACAGTGTTCAAGATACATGCAAATCACTGACTTATACAGTGGAATAATTACTTTTATCCTTTTTGTTCTTTTGTATCTTTGTGTTCTTAATTACTAAAATTCAGTTTGCTTTTTAAGTGTTAGCTGTTCTTTACTAACCTAAATGATTTGGTATTATTGCCTCCACATTGCTCACTGCTCATTCCCTATAATGCTTTTTTTTTATAAGCAACTGAAAAAGTCCTTCCATCTGCAAAAAGAAATAATGGCACCCCTTTTAGGGAAGTGGTCTGTAATGCTATGGAGGTGTGGGAGACAGCTATAGAATGGGGCTGCTCTCAACTGTTTCTCTTTCCTCCAGTATCTAGCAGTAGGAAAAGCTCTACTAAAACAGAGCCACATACACAAATGCATCTAGGATCAGCAATGGGGATAGACAAACCTATGTGAGAAAAAGAGAGAAACAAACGTACCAACCAAGGATTTTTAAGACAAGTGCATTAATGACAAGATTTTTCTAACTAACTCATCTATGCAAAAGGTTTCTCCATAATGGTGAATGGTAGTTTTCTTCCACTGGACATACTTTACTATTGCTCTTATAATGCTGACATTTAGGATAATTAATCCTGCTGGATATAAACCAGACTCATTTGGAGTTATTTCTGGAAAAAGGAAATAGTGTTTTAAGAGAATACTAATAGAAAATATAATTAAAAAAAAAAAAAAAACAAACAAAAACCAACAGAACAACCATCTTACATAGGCTCT